CAAGAATTTGTAATCAGGAGTCTCTGGAATCTTGCATCTCATAAGACTGTAATCTGGACCTTTTCCAGGTATGTCAATTTCAGAGTCTGTGTAAATTCCATTGCAGATATCTTATTTTGGAACAGCAAAGGCAGGAATGATAAGAGTAATGTGCAGTTATGGTAAAAGTACAACATCTTGATTGCAGGTAAAGTATCAACAACGTTGGCAACTAATTGCCATTACTGAGAGAACATTGCAGTCACAGTCTGCTAACTCTTGTAAATGTGTCATTAATTACTGAATAGTAGCTAAGGAAGTGTAAGGCAGGTAATGAGGAGGACATATAAAGTAGCAGCACACAGAATACACCAAAAGCTGTCTTTGTACTAATCCTTGTACTAGTATACATGCTACAAAAGAGGACATCTTTCGTGGCCAGCATGGGAACGTGACTTTGGGTGGGTTCTATGGTCTGAGTAGGTGCTGTCATTAATCCCAGTCCTATCTCCAGGTGTACATTGCCCCACTGCTATTGTGAAGTGCCGTGTAATTACAATTCACTCCTATTTGCTCTATAACTGTCTCCAAAACTTCTTGTGACTTCTTCTGGCAGTAGCATATGAAGATACATAAAATTCCAGCTTCTCTGAGAGAAGAGGCAACTCAAAATGTGTGGAAGAACCAGAAACACCCTCTCACCCTCCAAAAAATCTCATCACCTTATAACTGGAGTACCATTCAACAAAAATTTCTTCCCTCAGTTTCAAGAAGGAACAGATAAATTGCTACACAGTGAGAGCACAGAATTTTCTGTGTAGTGAACTGTGAAACACAGATGGACTTTTCTGTTGTCAGTCATGCATTGGACAAATATAGGACATAAGAGGATCTTGGTCAGGTGTCAGTGGCTTTCAACTCAAAGAGAGTAGAGTTTAGATTAGATATTAGGAAGAAATTCTTTACTCAGAGGCTGGTTAGGCACTGGAACAGATAGGCCAGGTAAGTTTTGGACTCTCCATTCCTGAAAGTGTTCAAGGCCAGGTTGGATGTGGATTGGATATGGAAGGTGTCCCTGCCCATGGTTGGGGTGTTGGAACTAGATGACCTTTATGGTCGCTTCCAATCCAATCCATTTGGTGATTCTATGATTCTATGATTAGTCATTAAGACAGTGCAATAACACATGTTGGTAGGCTGCCTCGCACTGGTAAGCATATAACTATCCACTGTAAAGTTATCACACACTGAAAAAAGTATCCAAAAGCTAAAAGGAATCCAAGGCGGTGAACACGTAGTAAAAAATAGACTCTTAGAGAACTGAAACCTTAAAAGATGAGATAGAAGAGGGGCAGAGGTAAGAAGGAAAAAAGAAACTGCATTTTACAATTGTGAATTGAGATAGAGAATGAATAAGTAGCAAAGAGGAATGGACAGAATAAAAACAGTAAGGTATCAACATGTTTACATGTTTACAATAGGAGTGGGTTAGCAGGTATTTGCATGGAACTTTAGAGGAATTTTTTTTAGAATAATCAAATGCAAATCCTTCAAAATGCTTCTCACATTTTAGTACCACAGCTTCACAGACTTCCTTGACCTTCTCCATTCTTTTCTGTACTTCTACACTTTAGATATATGCTGCAAAATGTATATGAAAATATTTAGGTCTATCAGTTATTCTATATATCAAATTAAATTTTTATTAATAAGTGCCTTGTTAAGAAAACAGTCATGAGCCTTTTACATTCATAGTTTCATTTTAGCAATTAGAAATTAATTTCTACATCTCTTGGAGATTCCTTATCTGTATAATCTTTTATGAATAATTGACCCACTTTACCCTGATAAGAACTACATGTCTAAGAATTGTTTATCCATCAGGTTGAGAGGTTCTATACCCTGATGCAACATATGCTTTACCAGATGTTTCACAGGGAAGACAAACATGCTGATAAAAACAAATTGCAAGCTTTTAGTGAATTGCTTTGGATTTAACGTTATCCTTGGAATGGATTGATTCTATCATTCTCTGATAGTGGGTATCTGATTTTTTTAGTTTGTTTTTATTGTGGTTATAATGAGCTGTGCAAGAAATTGTCCACTCTCCGTCCCTTCAAATGTTTCTGAGTGAAGCATTTATAAGGCAAAATGAACACACTGATGTCTTTATGGAGGGAAAAAAAAAATCTCAATTGCAATTGTTTTTTAAACCATCCTATTAACTTCAGTTCGTGTTACTTAGATCCACCATAAAATTTTCACTGCACTGATGAGCTGTAGCAAAGAAAGCTCATAACACTTGCGAGTTATTTCCATTTTCTCAGTGCCATTGGACAGTGTAGCAAATGGGACTAAGTTCTTACTGAAACTCTCAGTTACACATATTCACTGAGAAAATAACAAGGTTAATTTGATTTCTGTTTTCAATTTCTCTCTTTTCCTATATACAATAGACAGTAGCTGTCATCTTTATGAAGTGTCTTGCTTTTCATGCTATTTTATTCCTCAGAAATTAGTCATTGGAGAATCCTTCTCTAACTCTGCTTTATAAATTATATTTTTTTGTTCAGCTATTTAACAATGTTTTTCATTTTATTGTAACATTAGAAAAATCGTTGGAAAGTAATTTGTATTTTGATGCCAATATTTCAGTAAAGAGGAATTAATAAGCAGCAGAATCTTTATACTACACTATTATGAAGGGATGGAATAATCATTATGGAGCATGACTGCTACAAAAAAAAAAAACTGAAGAGTTCTCCTTTATAATTTGTGGTAGATATGAAGGCAATAGTGTGTGTTTTTTCCACCTCTATCACAATGCATAATCCATATCTCAATAATGCAGTTGGAGAAGGGAATTGGACACTATTGATGGAAGAGAATTTATATGCGAACACACTGCAATTTCCCAAGCCACAGGACGAGAAAACATTATAGTAGGATAACCTGTGCAAAAGAGGAGCCACATGTTTTGGGTGTTATTGATTCTTCTTTAAATTTGGTATTGATTGCTCCTGCCCATTGATTATTGAAAAAGTCTATTTTTCACTTTCAAGAGAATAATTTTCATTGCTTTGCTGCCCTTTATTCCTAGACAAAATCCCCATAGATGTTACACTTCAGGGAATTTTTAGTTGTACATGACCTTTTAATTATTTGTGACTTGCATATCTATCAGCTGAAATCTTTTGAGGGAAATAAGATTAAATTGCTCTGAAGGAAGAATCAGGTTCTCCAAGTTGTATCCCCACTGATGTCAAAGGATGATATCCAAAGGCAACCTATTGTTCTGTACACATATTACCTGTGCAATATTAAAAATAAATTGAATATTACATGTCCAAATCTCTACAGTCCTTTGCTTAATATCTTAACAGATAGGAAATGCCATCCACTTATGTAAGAAGAAAAACTAGAGGCTCTTCCACGGGGTCTGGTCTTCTTGCTCACCAGCCAGCAGTGCTGGCAGCCTGGCTTGGTCTTCCCCAGAGGAGTACAATTGCTTTTCCACCCTGCAGAAGAAACAACCCCAGATCTCCTCCAGCAGAGACACAGCCCCCCAGCATGGAGATGAGCATCAAAAACATAGTCATGCTCTTATGGGAATTTTTCTGCTATGTATACACCATTATTTTGTTTCATTAAAAAATCAGAAAACAAATATTAAGGACTGTTTTGGAGTTTATAATTGTGGGTAGCTGTGGGGGTTAGATGACCTTCATATTATGTTTATTGGCATTATATTGCTTCAGCAAATATAAACAGTCAGTTAAGCCTACAATGTGCTCATACTCTAGAGAGACACAAAGACTAGCCTGATAAAAATGAGGATTGTGGAGTGGGAAAATTGTTTCCTTCTCTTTCTTTTTTTATTAAATTCCTTTGTGAGAGTTTTACTGATCTATCTTCAGTCATACAAATTTGATATTTATTTTCCAGAAGAAGTGAAAGAAAATTTAACATTGCTAATTTCTTTACCACTTCAGAAATGTATTTGAAACATGATAAAATCCCCTGCTTTTAAGTATGTTTTCTCCAAAGTCAGTAGTAAGCTTTAATGGCTCAGAAAGAATATCATAATATCATCAAACCTAATCTACCATAAGAAGAATAGTAATATCAAATGGCCTCTCCTATAGAAATGAATTGTAATTAATTACCTAATTTGTTGGAGCATTTGTAATATATATTTAATGACACTTCTGTCTGGCAAACCCTTCCAGACAGTGTTCTGAAGAAACATGATCTAAGCATAGCCTCAAGCTGATATTATAAAATAATTCACCATGCTGTGTAAAAAACTCCAGATAAAACAAGCAGCTAATGTTTCAGCTTCTGAGGCCTCAGGAAAGCCTGTTTCCACCCTAACATTTATCTCTGGCAGCCTCATCTTCTCTGCCTTTATAGCTGGAATATGCAGTAAATAAGTATTCAGCCCTGGCCTGATTGCAGGTAGCACCAAGCAAACAATAGCCCATTACTATATATCACACTCCAATTACTAAAGATCTTGCCATATGTCTAATAGTGTGATATAAACAGTCCATTAGGCTTTCTAATGGTGGTGTTAAATAAAGGGTGAACGAATAGTGCTAGAACAGTCAGAAGCCCCTGGGTAGCTTTGCATCTTCCCATGCCATTCCTTTTAATGAGATTATATTATTGCTTTGGTCGATAGGAACTGTCACTTGAAGGTTTCCAGTTCTCCTGCCCTTTTGTGTTGAACTGACAAGGCAGATGTATCTAAATATTTACCCTTCTGTCTATTTTCTTCAACAGAGTAAAGTTCCTGCCTTTTATTCCCCACTTACATCACTGCCTCTTTTTGCTAGATGGAACAATGTATCTCTCCTAATCAAGTAGGAGATCTCTGGTGCAGACCCTCCCTGGAATCTAATGTAGCCCATGAATCTCTCAACATCCTTGAGAGACAACATTAGTCATACAAATGACCCCTGCATCAGTGTTCTGGCAAGACATTGTAAGAGTTTATTCAATAATGGTACAATATTTTTTCCAATTAGAGAAATGTCCATTATTTTTCTTTGCTTGTCTTAAAAATAGCAGAGCCTCTCAAAATCAGAATAACTACCAAAAAAAAGCTACTTAAGACTTGGAAATGTAAATTCAAAAGACAATATCTCATAAAAGTAAAATAATTGAAGGAGAAGTATTAGATTAGATTAAAAATGCTTACAGAATTGTAAAACTAAGTTTCCTCTAAAAATGCTATAGCATATTTGGTGTGTATTATACAGAGGATTAACAATGAAACACCAGAGAATAACATTTTGTAATGTTCTCCATCACAGATTGAAAACAAATTAACTACTGAGCTACAGAATAAACATACAAATGTAAATTTGATCCAAGCAGTTGTGCAGCTTGATGCAATGCATTAATACCAAAGAAAACTACAAAACTGACTTTAAACATCTGAGTCTCACACTCTGATTATTGTTTAGTTTGGGCTATAATGAACAGTAAAGTTATGGACATGCTGTTTAATTTCAGAGATTGCCAGAAGACAGCAATTAAACAGCCATCCCAGCTCTGTAGTTTTGATATATCTGAGAAAACCTGTTAAATTACTGTCAAAATTCAACTTCGCTGTCATACAGTAACAAACTCCAGAATGATGGTGTGTCTCTGTCATATGTAAAAAACAAGAAAATGTAACATTCCAACACTTATTATTTGTTTCAGTGGTGTTTCTTTCTCTTTTACATCCTGCTATTTAGTAATCGCAAGTTTGTTAAATTACAAACCTTTTATCCATATGTAGTCTATGGAGGTAATGGATATAGCATGAAACACAACCTAAACCAGTACTGTAGTACTGCAGTGTTGCAGTACTGCACCAAAGGGACCACTTTTCAAGATGAGGAAATAAGCTGGCATCGTTCTTCCTTTAGTTTAGGGGAACCTGCCTAATATAACGCTTTGGCCATCAGCTAGGGATGATTGTGATGATGGTTTACAATGTGAGGACTCTACCACATAGACAAAGAAATTTTCCAAATCATTTCAGAAGTTCTGTCCCTTGATTAAGATGAGGCCTCATTTCATTTGGTGGTAAGAAAAAAACAAAAGTTCTTGGAAATGAGACTGCACACCCAGATGGAAGCCACATCCAAGGATGTCAGAAGTTTCTGGTGGAATTCAGAGACATTAGGGCAACCTACGTATTAAGCTTCACAGATACATGTTATGTGTGGTTTAAACTGAGATAGACAGATATCTATACTTCAGATGCCTAAACTGTAGATTTCTACTTCTGACCTCATTACTGGAGGTTCTTCTTGTAACTGACAGTATGAAATAGGTATATAAGTAGTTTTAGGGCATGGTTCATCTTAGCTACTCTAGCCTGAATGGATCTCATTTTACCAAAGCATGTTTCATTTTACTCATTAAAAATTAATGTTAGGCCACCAGCTCAGACAAAAAGCCAGATCTACTTTATAGACAGTCCCATCAGATCAGATGTGAAGCTGGAAATGCCAGTGACCTAAAGCACAAAAGTTCTTAGATTACAGAATCTGAAAAACTTCTAGTTCAGGGGAAAAAAAAGGAAAGCAGAAGAACTTCTAACAGCCAAAAATCATAAACCACTTATTTTGCTGTGAGGAGAGCCAACAGATATTGAATTTGGACTTGTTGTTACTATGACTTCATGCAACATCAAATAATGATCAAGGCAGGGTGTGAGGCAGCTGCTATGCTGTATTACCCTGGCACATCACTTAGATGAAAAAGAGATGGTAAATCACAAAGCATTGACTGGTCTACTTGAACAACCTTCATCACTTCAGACATTGTAAGAAAGCCAAGTGGTGATGTGAGGCTGCACACTGATGTTAAGGAACGGTTCATAAATAATCTCTCTCACTTTCACAGCACAATAGCTAAATAACAGGATGAAAAAGTGTAGCAGTTTAAACTTTTCATACATTATCATTTTCAATGCACCTGAGCATGAAATGAAATGCCTCCTGATGGTCCCGGTTCTGCACGAGCCTTTCAGATTCATTAAAGTAATACAAACTTTTCAGACTTAATAACTGGTCCTCATCTACAACATGAGAATTAAAGACATGCACTCAGTAAGTGTCTTTAATTCCACAGAACAAAGAAGAAATATATCATGCTAGGGTAAATATTTGTTTAAAACTGCACAAGCAAACAAGGCTGTAAATAGAAATCTGGGTCACCACATCAAGTCCCATTCTAAGTCTTTTTCTGAACTTATAAATCTCTGTCTAAAGAAAATTTATTTCTTTTTTATCCTAATCCCTGACTGAAAGTCCATGGCAGAACCATAATCCAACCTTTAAACCAAATATTAGATTTTTTAGGCCCTAATTACAATAGGAACTTCTGCAGTTTATTTACAGGCTAGGTTAATTGATGAGAATTTTACTTTTTTTATAATCTCTGCCTCCTTGTTTTCCATATTAGCTCATATCTCACAGTGAACCTTTTTACTCACTGTTGCTTCCTCTTCAGAATGATTCTTTGAACCTCATTCCTCTTTGGCTTAAAGAGAATACCTATGTGATGGTTTTGGCTGGGGTAAAGTTTATTTTCTTTACATTAACTAGTATGGGGCTGTGTTTTGGATTTGTGCTGGAAACAAAGTTGATAATATAGAGATGTTTCAGCTATAGTTGAGCATTGCTTAAACACCATCAAGGCCTTTTCTGCTCCTCACCTTCACACCAAAGGAATGTCTGATATAAATATTTTTTATTGCTTTAATTAATACAAATATGATATATAACTTATCAGAAATGAAAACTGATTTGCCATCAGTGTTTTGCAACCTCCCATGACAGTGTACTGTTTCCTTTTGAATAGTTGGAGTCATACCAAGCAGAATCTCCTTGGCTGCCAGAATTCTGTCAGGAGTTAACTTTATCTTCTGCAAATACTCAGTCCCATATAAATATCTATATTCTCATTGTGTTCCCAGAAGTGCTTATTGGTCCTTGTTTGTTGTAGTTCCATTGAAAATTCGGTGGATAACCACTAGGAAAAAGAAATGACATTGTGTGAGTTGGATGTGCAGTCACACTTTACAGAGACAGGTTAACAATCAGAAGACAGTTGAAGAATTAAGTCTTGAAGTGGAAAAGCTGAGAGTCTGAGCGGGGAGGATGTAAAGGTTTAATGATGCACAAGAGATAGAAAAACATATTAGAAAATATTTCTCTGCAAATATTCTTTACTGTTTTCACTGAAGAAATTTGTTAGCATAACGGGGTGGAGGAAAATGAAGAATTGAGTGAGTCATAAACACTGACGTTTGAACACAAACAAAAGGCAAATGCTCAATCAATATTTATTTGCAAAGCCATATGGGCAGAAACAATCCCTACTCTCAGTGTTACATTAAATGTAAAAGGGATCTTGCAGTAATAGGTGTTTTGCCATTGTCCTGATTGAATAGGTAAATTCTGTAAAGCAGCTGAACTTAAAGACCTGTGTCTGTAGTGAGGTCAGTTTCCAAACATGGAGAAAAAGCCTTCTGCAAGCTCTGTCTGTGCTATAACCACAGCACCTCAAAGAAATTAAACTCACAAATTACACTTAGACAAAACCCTATTAAATGAAAGAGGCATGCAAAAAATAAACAGACATTTAAAAGCGTGAGCTCTGCTCTGACAATTCGTCTCTCTCTAGTCTGGGTTTGGACTTCATTTTTTTGTTTGAAATTCCTATAGTAAGGTTCACTTGGCATATGAGAGTTTAGAATGACAGGAACTTTGTCTGAGACACCCACACTGGTCAGTATGAAAACTCCTTGTGGGTTTCCTTCACATAAAACGTACATGCCAAAAATGATTAAGTGGTTGCTCCTACTGGGCATCGCATCCCAAGTTTAATCTATGTTATTTCCTTCTGTATTACTCAATTCATAAAAGAAACTGTTAAAAGCCTATACCTGGTGAAAGTCCAACTGGAATTTGTAGATAGAAAAAGCTTCCAGAAAAAAATATGCAAGCAGAAAATACAGAAGCAATTATTTTAGGAATGGCAAAAGCAGATTTTACTTACTACTTTTTCGTCCTCTAAATAATTCAGCAGCTGGGAGATTTCATGTCAGCAATTTCATTATAGGGATGAAATTATTTCACAGATCCTATTCCTTTTACATTTGACACAGGTTCAGATCCTCAGAGAGACTCTTGAATTCCTAAATGTCAATACTATTGCTAATAACCACCAGCTCTTTCGCTTTCTTCCTTACATTTCTCCAGCACAAGGAAGAATGGATCCTTTAGTATCTGGTTTACTGCATTTCTGGAGAGCATGGAAAGTGAGCTACATTGTAACTAACCAGGCATAATGAGTTTTTAGTGAAGCTGTTAGTAATTACAACCTGTCTCCATAAGACAAAAAAAATACCTGGCCTCTTACAGTTTTCCCTTACTTGATCTCTCTCTGTCTTGTTCATGTTTTGTGGTGGCTGTCATTGCATTTTTTGTACTAGAGGTTAAGATTTCCCAAGTGGAAGATGTGTTTCTAGGAAAAACACCAGTACTGTAACAGATGAGATAAATACTTTCTTTTAATAAATATGAGAAAGGCAGGCACTTTGACTGAATGTTTTAATCTTCGCACAAGATATTGAACACTATCTTCCTGAGGCAAGGAGGAAATATTAAACCAGCAGGGCAGTTAATGCATTTCCTGGGATTAATATAAAAAAATTAATGAGACAAAACCAGATAAATGATGTTAAAGGCAGGATATGAAAACGCAGGCATAAGAGTACACCTGCAATAGCTAACAACAGGGAAACAAAAATAAATGATGGTCTGTAGCACAGCCCATTGGTATTGGCATGCTGAGAGCACATCTTCACCCTGTTAATCTTCTCCAATCTGGCTTTTAGAAGCATATATATTCACCCTGAAAAGTCCATTTCTAGATTCTGATGCAGTTATATTTCCTCTAAGTGCTGCAGGAGCTGTCTTACTTGTTCTCTCTGTATTTCCGTATAGCAGCGCCACACGCTCCCTTCCGTTCTCAATCCAGCCATGCACAGGAGTGGGTTCCAGAAACATGGGCATTTTCACTGCTGCTCTTCTGCGTGGCAGTAGAACAGGCTGTGAAAAGCTATATGCAAGCACAAAAAGGGGTAAGGTGTTAGAGGATTGTGAACTGTTTTCTCTTTCCAATCATCCTGCTTTAAGTACCCCACCTCCAATTTATTAGCTGTGTTATGGTAACATCTAAGGAGACCTATGTTTAGCAGGCTGTGATGACAAGGGGTAGAGGGACTTGCCCTGTTTTAAATCCCACCTACCGTCCCTCTGAAATAACCTCTTGCTCGATTTGAAAGCACTGCAGTGCATTCCCAGCACACTCCCCAGGCCTCCAGGTCTCCCTGATGGATGACAATGACCTGAGTCCCCACACTGTTTCTCCCCTCACAGCTCCAACAGAGTTGATGTTTCAAATCCTTTGGATTTATAGTTTTTGAGAGATGGAATTATTTACATTTTTAAGCTGCTGAATCTTTCTTAGCAATTTTTTAATCTGTTCTGGTAAAGGACTTCCTATAACTGTGGGGAAAATCCAGTACAGATTGCTAGCAAGGCAAGACATTATATCATTATAATAGGCAGACTTCTAATTGCAAACAAAATAATTCAAAAAAACAAAACCCGAAATTCTTTTCTAAGTAATATCTCTGCCTCTCTAGATATCTTGGATATTCAGTATTTTGTTGAATCAGTAACTTGCCAGTGGTAATAATGCTTGACTGAGATTTGAACGTGATCAGTCATTATTCCTTTTCTTATTGCCTCATTCTCTCACTGATAATTAATGTTTTATATGATGTAGAAAAAAACTCTGAGTAGCCACTTAAGGTTTTTTAGTTTTTCCAGATTCTTTCCCAGAACTCACTTCTGAGTATCTTTCTTCCAACTAATTGAAACTTTTTAGAGTTTTTCCTCCCTTTCTCTCCTTCTCACACTGAAAGGCATATATACACATGCATGCATACATATTTTTTTTTCTCCAGTAAGTAAGAAAAGGTAGTAGAAATGGCAACATATCAAGTCCAGTTTTCATGAAGAAAATACCCTTCTTCAATCAGAGTTCTAATACTGTCAAGCAATACTAAATGGTTCCAGGTATCATGACTAATAATGTTTTACTCTCCCTTTTACTGGCATTGCACACATCAAAGCACCTTCCAGAAGACCGAGTCCATCGCCAGTAAAAGTTGTCCAACAAATTATAGTCAGAAAAACACTACCTGATGTCAAAACATAAATAGAGGAGGAAGTGGTGCATGGTATTGGTTTCTTGGAGGCATTTTGTCCTTCATGAATTGCAAAAGACTGAGAGCTTATGGAACAAGAGAAATTGGATTTTTTTTTTTTTTTGGTCTCTTAATATACAAAATTTATTGTTTCCCCAAAAATGTAAATCAGAAGAAAATTATGCATTTGTTACTACATGGACAGATTAAATTGCTGCTTTAATATCTCCTAGCAATTTTTGCAATCTTCAGAATTCTTCTGATATCCTGTTGCATGAGAGTTATATGGGTCATTTCAGAAAGAGTAAATCCAAGCTCTAAGAACTACACTTACTAATTAGATGTTTCAATAAATAATTTAGCAAGCCTGTTTCAAACGAGAGATTCCATTAAATACTTGAAACTATTTAACTATTTAACTATATTCTTTCCACACCTGACACAAGTTTGTCTCCCCAGAGACAAATGCACTGTTACTCCAATAAACCATCCTGCTTACATTTGCTTTGTCATATTGATTATTTTGATAATTGTTTTAGAGTTCATTGGTATTCATCCTCTAAATCAAGAAAACATAACCTGAGGCCTATAAAGGTCTGATTTTCCTCTGCAGATTTTTCTGTTATGGGATTAATGAAAGTTAATTTGAAAATAATTTAAGAATAATAAAATATTTTACTATATCACCGTCTTTCACAAATTGGATTGACTGTCCTAATTTCAAATAATTTTTTGCTTCCTAATTAAGTAGGTTTTGTGCTCAATATTTTTCTTTCTTGTCACAAACAAGGCACTTTAGTCTGTGAAATCTTCATGGGAATCAATGCGCTTCGTTCGCGAAGCCTAGCCATGATGATGATTGTTTTGTGAGTAGTGTTTGACGTCACTCCAGTGTCTTATTAGTTGCTCCATTGTACTTATCAGAATAATTAAATTCTGCTAATGGCATGTAGTATTTTCATGGAAAACGTTATCCTTTTTTTGTTATTATTGTTATTACTGCCAATAAAGGACAGCAAGATGCCAACCACTAGAATACAACTTTTGTGGAACCTAAGGACATATATTTAGCATAAATCAATCCCATCAGAATGAACTACAGAACAAGGTAAAGAGTTTTTCTGGAAGAGCTTCAAAACACCATCAATAAAGTGATGCTACAATTGATTACTTCTCAGCATGCATTCTAAGATAAATGACCTATGATTCCATTTTAAGGTTGATGCTGAAAAATCTTCAAATGCTAATAGTGAAGGGCAATACATAAACAATATAAAAAGAAAGAAGCAGACATTTGAGGTAAAAAAAAACCCCACATGTAGATATACCACAAAGACACATACAAGTACCTTTTTCAATACCCAAATATGCTCATTTCACATCTATTTATAAGGTAAAGGACAATCACTAGACAAACAGATAGAACAATGAAAGTCTGAAGGTATAAATCAGTTAATCCACAAGTTAAAACTCTTACAGCAACATAAAGTTTCTTGCTGAATTTTATCATTTACTATTTAACCCCTTAAATTTCTCTTTTAATAAATACTCAAGTGCTAAATCATACCATTGAAGCAATAGCATGCAGTAGGATTGTTTGCTCAGAACTAATTTGTCTCAGAGGCAGCTTATGGCAGTCCATTCAGCAGTCTGTTCCATGTTAAAAATGGGAAATACACACACTTGTGTCCTCCGTGAATTTTGACAGTTCTGTAGATGAGCACAGATGTCACGCAAGCAAATAATATGAGATAGACAAACAAACAAATAGACTGTCCAACCCTCTTTTGGCCTTTGCAGTGTGGAAAGATACTTTGTTCATGATGTTATGTCACTGCTGCCAGCCCAGCCAGACATACACAACATGGTCAGGATCATTTAGGAGCCAAAACCAGTTTTTCCCAGTGAAGTAATTTCTAGGAATATCAATAACGTGTGTGCATTGCATTTAGACTGGCAGCTAGAGAAAAATTTCTACACATCGTAGAAGGGAGGTACTGAAATACTTTCCCACATAGTAACAATTGATGGGAACAAATAAGAATTTTAAGATCAAAGTCTGTAAACTATTTATGGGGACTGACATTATGGAAAGGCATATAACATTTTCACTTCAGATAACCAGCAACTGAATGTCATAACCCATTTTGCTTCTTCCAATCTGTCACCCAACTTATACGTTTACTTGCAATGGCCTTCTGTCTACATTTGCCAGGGCAACATGGTTATAAGGAACATGTTTATGTTCTGAATAGATTCACAGCATAATTTTTCCCTAAAGGATTATGAATTAATCTGAAGATCTATGAAAAGCTGCTTTGTATTTTTGACAGCCTATTAAAAGATTGTATCATAAAAATTGCTGGCTCATTCCAGTATATTTAGTTTGGATTTCTAAATAACATACACTTGCAAATACATCTGGTGAGTTATGTAAAATCAGAAATTATTTTACTCATATACAATTTTCCTACTTCACTGCAGAAATTCCTCTGTTGTCAAAGATACTCATTATCAAGAGGTGATAATACCTCATACACAACAGAGTTACTATCACCTGCACAGCTGCCAGCCAGACTTGGTGGCTGACTGTCTTTCTGAAGTGCGTAATCTGTGTTCTGACAATAGAAATAATAAATCCTTTAATGTTCATATTGCTTCTAAAGCAAAATGGTGACAAGTACGCAATTTTTAAAAACAGATTAGTTTACAGAAAATTATAACTTTTTTGCAAGAAAATGACCATGCCAATCTTTATAATACAAAACAAAGAGAAAAACACTGCCATTTCATTTTACGACCAGAATAAAAGTACATTTCCTTTAAAAAAAAATCTTTTTTATTTTTGTCTAAGAGGAAAGTTGAACACTGTAGATATGTACTTTGTTTGAAACTGCAGTGCTGAACTAAGACTGATGACAGGAGTGTCTTGAACAGCAAAAAGAAATAAACTTTTTCAGTTGACAGGGTTAAGAATTGGCTACCCTACCTTAGCTGGAATAATCAAAAACTAACATTTTTAGAATATGCCCAGCTAGAAAACACAGGGAAAAATTCCTCACAGGCAGGTAAGATTTGATGGTGATGTATCATTTTAGGTCACTAGAAAATCCAACTCCTCCATTAAAAAATTAGTATTTAACATAGTATTAACAAAAAAGTATCGAGCTCATCAGTATTTTGATCATCCCCTTTAATTTCCTCTGCCCCTGCACCCCCAGGGGGTTCGCAGGATGATCTGACATGCACTGAACATTATCTATCATAAAGGATGATGAATACTTATAAACTCCCATTTCTATAAAAATCAGGACCTTTGTGGAGAAGACCTGGATTTGGTCTCGGTCAGTGCTGATTCTATTGAGACATGAGCAGACAACGGGAGTCCACCACTAAAAGCCCGAGGCCTCCCCAGTTGGTCATTTCAAGGAAATCCAGAGGAAGACAACAGAGAAGGTCATACTTAACACTTTCCCCCAAAAAACTGGGATGCCATTTGAAAGATTAAAATGACTGTGTTTGTTTGCTTTTGGGTGGTAATGTTCTACCCACAGGGGGTTCTAAGCACTGGAGCAGATTGTCCGTACACTTCACAGAACCTCAACCACTCTCGGGTAACTTGCCTAGATAACAAAGGAAAGCCAGTAGATGCAATTTCTTTGGACTCCAAAAAGCTTTCGATACTGTGTCTCACAGTATCCTTCTGGACAAAATGTACAGTTGGATAACTGTTACACGATGGGTGAGAAAATGTCTCTTGAGTCAAGCCCAAAATTTATAGTGAATGGGGTGACATCAGACAGGTGACTGGTCACTAGTGGAGTTCCACAGGGCTCCATCCTCT